CACATTCATTGATGTTATCAATATACTGAATTGAATCATCGATGATTTCAACGTCCTCGATTATATCAGTATCCGCAATGGAGACAATATCGTCAATGATTTCAGTTTCCGCGATGGACTCAGAATCTTCGATGATTTCAGAATCTTCAATGATTTCAGTATCATCGATTATTTCTGTATCCTCAATGATTTCAGTAGCATTGATGATTTCAGTAGCATCAATTATTTCAGTAGCATCAATAATGTCAGTAGTATCGATGATTTCAGTAGCATTGATAATTTCAGTAGCATCGATGATTTCAGTGGTATCGAATATCTCAGAATCATCGAAGATTTGAGTATCTTCGAAAATTTGAGTATCGTCGAAGATTTGAGGATCCTCGATAATGTCACCGCCGTCGTAGATCACAGTTTCCTCTGTGAATTCAGTATCTTCGACGTATTCAGTTTCTACGACGTACTCTGTTTCCACTGTGTTCACGGCGTACTCAATATCATCAGCGTATATAGTGTCATCGGCGTATACAGTATCATCTGCGTAAACAGTACGATCGGCATATACAGTACTATCGATGTATTCAGTAACATCAGGTAATTCAGTATCGTTGGCGTATTGAATAGCCTCGGCGTACTGAGTATAGTCGGCATCGGTTATGTCAATATCATCGGCCATCTCAAAAAAAGAATGTGCGAAATTGCCATTCTGACCTGTAAATTCACCTAATCTTTTCTATTAACTACATGTATTATATACAAATGAAATGAAATGACGAACCAAGGAAAATATTTTATTTAATGAGAAAATATACGAAAATCCTATAAGGAATAAAACTCCAACAAAGTTTTCTATGACATTTTTTAATATAACATAAACCTCTATTTTTTAAAATTTTTGTATTATATTTGGTGCATTGTATGCACAAGTGTATATATTATCTCAATTTATTTTGTTGGTTTCTGACCTTGTATTCTAACTTTTACGACCTTCGGCAATATAAGATAAATATAATAAAATTAATTAAAAGCCTTATCTTCCGCCCTATGATTACATATACTATGTATACCTGAATATGATTACATATACTATGTATACCTGAATACACAAGGGTGGATTTGTTCCAAATGTTTCGAGCTTGGTTAACATTGAATATAGGCTTGAAAATTAGATATTGATTCTGACCTTTGATGAAAGAATCGATATGGACTACTGGGCATGTTAATGTGGATAAGGGTACAATACCAGCATCTCTCATAGTTTCCATTTAAATTAGGTATTGACAAATTGAATTTTTGTATTAGATTGCGACCTTCATTAAAGAGATCGATGGATAATTGCACATGCGTACTTAAACAGTTCACCCCTGTCCACCCACTACCCTAATTTCTCGACATGAATTATCTTTTTTTGTAGTCGGATAAGAAAACAAACTAATCGCATCTCGTAGATTTAATTAAAATGTAGAAATGTCATTTAGATTATTTAATTATTTAATAGACTTTGCTAAACGGATCGATATGGGCCATTGCGCATGCGTACCTGCAAGGGTGCAGACTACCCTAACTTCCAGACCTTTTTTATGACCTCGGATAATATAAAATTCATAAAGCATATATGTATTTTATTGAAATATAAGTGTAACTAGTATTTATTTTGTTGGATGATGATATTTGATAATGATATGTAGATGCACATATCATCAAGGCTAATGAGCTAAATTTGATATCAAGGTTAATTGATTCAAACTAATAAAAATCGTTTAAAATTTTCATTGATTTGTCCAAATAATCATTCTGAAACTAGTTACCTAGGAACTGATATTCTTCCATGGTGAAAGGTTCAATTGTCTGATCCATCATCATTTTAACTTCACTTCCGCTTCAGATTCACATAAATAAGAAACTTCAGATTTATTTAAATGAACAGTAATATCAAAAACAGGAGCACCGACCCGCACAATATTTGGGTGTTGGTCTAGACGTGATTACCTGCTGCAATGACGGGGGATGAATTATTACTGTTAGCAACAGTTGACTCGGCCGCCCTTTTATGCATTCGCGCAGGCCAGGGATGAAATCGATAATGACGGGATGCGTGGGCGTTAAAGGGTTTTCAGCTATTTTCTTAAGAATCCATAAGCCAATTTCTTTGAAACCGGTAGCATAAATCATGTTTTCATTAAATCCATCGTTTGACAAAAAAAAATTGTTTAAAAGTGTGCTCGTTCAAAAATTAATTTAAATTACGCGCATAAAATGCAAATAGTGGGGATGCAACAGGGGCGCGACATCAATAGGAAAACAGAGACGTGCAGGGTGCATCCAGAAAGTATTGATCGCAGCTTCTGCAATACAGAGCGACCTATATATATCTGCACTGACTGAAGCTTAGTATACCACAATAAGATTTACTGTAGTCCTACAGTCTGGAGCAGTCTGAGCTCACACCACACTCAGCCTATATTTCATACTGGAAGGAGCTTGTTGTCACAGATGAAACAATGCTCCTTAAATTATGCGCAATAGCCATTTTTCTCTTATTTTTAAATCTTTATTTATTTAAAGAAATATGCATTTTCCAGTTATTAGAAAAATATCAATTTATTTGCAAATAATTTAAAAAAATATAATCGTGTTTAAGTATGTAAAATAATAATACATATTAATTGTATTTTTATTATAATCGATTGAGCCACACCCTTACAGCCTTTATTATTAATTACAGAATATTTTAATTTTTCTGTATATCAACATTTATAAGAACTGTGACTGTCATCAGGTGTCAACTGGACGCGTGTAGTGCGGCTCTTCCTGCAAGAAACAAGCAAATAACGAAGAAGAACATTAACAAGATATATTGAACTTGAAAAGTAGCAAATATAGTAATATTTCAGTTAGCATATTGTATAAGAAGTTATTTAGTTTAGTTTCTAGTGGTGTAATTTAGTTTAAGTTATCATTTGCGAATTTGTTGATTAGTTCTTGTTTTGAGTAAGTTTTTTTTTATTGCTGACTTCGAAGAAGATCCGGCGATGGCAGTAGATACAGAAAGGAAGTCTCCGGAATCCCTTACAGGAATAATTGCTCATCTGAGTAGCCACGTTAAAAAAACAAAGACTTAAGTTTTATTGTCATTATCGAGAACATAAAAAACGATTTTATTATGATTTCTATTGTGCGCGAATACAAATAGACCAAAGTGAATTAGTGAATTCCTGCGCCCTCTGCAGGTGGGTAGAACTTTAGATAAATATAAAATAAAACAAGTAACAAAGGTAGAAATAGAGTCGTGGTAACTTTTAAGAAAGCTATTACGGCGAATAATTTCCTACACTCCAACTACCAAATCTTATATATTTGTGTTCGATCTGTTACCTTTATTGTCTTTACCTGTCTTGCCGTATCTCTAATACGTACATATTTTATAGAAGTCAGTTTAGTTTGATTTAATAGTTATTTTTTAGTTGAGTTAGAAGAAGTTTTTTATTTTGATTAGTCGTGCTGAAGAAGGAAGTTTTGGTTCATGTGGAGAAGCTGGTTAATTTAATTAGTAGGGCGGAAGAAGTAATCCGAAGTATAAGTTAGTTTGTGTTCCGAATGTAGACAGTGGCTGGCTTATTGGCGCGTAATGCGGAAGCCAAATGAAGAAGGGAAGGAAGAAGAAGAAGAACTACCAAATCTTGGAAGGAAACATCATTTAAACTCTCTCATTTAAAATTTTCTGAAAGAAAGATTGAAGAGACTAATGACGAATCGGGCAACCCAATATACATCCACATTAACACCATCTTAATATCAATAGCACAGGTGTTTGAGGTAAAACCACATCCAACCAAAGTACAACTGAAAGAATTCCACCGGATATGCTTAAACTCGCGTTTATGCCGTCAAGGTCGGAAGAAGAAACAAGAGAAAATAGCATTAAAAAATTAATTAGCATTCTTCGACAAGCCCTTGAGCATCCTATAGCATCCATCGATCATCAACTCAGTCACAACTTGCTGATGAACCTTCCCAAGTTTATAACAATATTAACAAAAAAAATGATTACTAAGATCCAAACTTGGAATATTAGAGCCTTCCGCTCTAATTATATAATTTTTTTTCAAATTAGCAAACACAGAGAATGCGGATGTTATAAATTAAGTCGAAGACGTGCTTTTTTTAAATTTCTTATTATTAATCTAGATTTATTTATTTACTTCTTTTAAAGTATTGGCACTGTTATTATTATTGTTAGTGCTGATATTTATTTTTTGTTTCTGTTAGGTATGTTTATTATATGTTTAAGGATCTGGTCTTTAATTAGGCATAGACTGGCTACACCACACAGTGCGAGGGGAAGAAATATAAATGTCTTATTGGAAATCCCATTGAAATATAAAAATCAATTGAAGAACCCCTCATGGTAATTGCATCATTGACCACTCAATTAAAAGCTGAATGCCTCACCTTTCCAACGAGCCAACGTGTTATCGAGTCGTCTGCTACAAGCTGTAGAAATTGGAATAAAAATAAATAGAGAAAAACGAATTTTGTGATGTTTGCTCATACTATCAGTCGATGGCATATTATGGGGGTAAATGGACATTCGTTTACCAACTTTTGGCTGATATTTGACGCTTCTGTTTATCACTTCAAATCTTTGTTGCATTTTGTTTGTTTATGAAAATTGCGATATCTTTGTATATTGTAATTAATTCTTTCCATCAAACACCTGGCAAAACTTGGTCGTTGTTTCATATTATTTTTTTTCGATTAATTTTTATAAAATTGATGTATATATTGAATATTAGATAGACCATTCAATCGATCTTGACCTATCGTATTTCAAAAAGAATTTCTATACGTTTTAGAGTGCTACATCAATGATCTGCATTACCTGTGGTGACAGATGTCTTATAAAAATTGTTACAAGTGTTGATGTTGAATATATCGCAAAATGTAGTATTTACATACATATAGTTTATTCTGATATCAACTTGTCTTTCAGGGGTGGCTAACTTTTGTGTACATAAGACTTTTTAACTTAAAAATGTGTCGCAATTGACTTGTTGTCACTGGCGTCATCGTCAAAAGGGGAAAGTTTATAAACTATGTATATATAATAACATAATTACTTAACGGAAAAAAAAAACTCAGGCCCGGAGGAATTAAAACAGATTATTTTGTTGCAGATCTTCTATTATCAAAATAAATTTAATTTTATATGCATCTATGGAGTTGATCAAATCTTATTTTTTACCTAATATTGAAGTAAAATCGGTAAGAAAAGCCAAGATTCAAATTTTTAAAGACTTTGAATAAATTTACACCTGTAGTTCTTTCTTTCAATGAAATCATACCTAACAATTCTTCTTTAAATGTAAAATCCTTAAAAACTATACGAATGAAAATAAGTAATTATGCTGTATCACTTATATCTGTCGATTCATCACATTGAATAGAATAACAAGAACATATAATAATACATTTCCACTCATCTTCTCAATTCGTCGCATCACAGTGTTTCGAAACAGTTGTAGATGTTGAATTGTAGTAATAATTTCACTCTTGTTCTTAAAATCGTTAAAAAGAGAATGTGATATTTCCAAAAAAGTTTCCTTCACAAATTCACCCTTGGAAAATAGTTTTTTTTTTTGCTAAAGCATACTTTGAATGATGTAGTAGTTGCTGATTCTGACTTCAATTTTGGCTTTTGAAAAATATTTTGTTGATTTGTTAATTGAGTTTTAAGATCTCTAACTTTACGTTATTTTATGAAAAATCTATTCGATACTGGTTATGTAAAGCTAAAAAATGTCTCCAGATTTTCCTTTTTAGCAATGGTTATCGAGGTAAAGCATATTAAGCAACAACATTTATCATTCACTATTATAAATAGTAATCGAGTACCAATTCTTCATTGAAATGATAATTTTTTTTGATTTACTACTCATGTTTCCACATACTAACCTGCAAATAATTAAATATTCAAAATAAATAGAGGTAAACGTCGTTTTGCGCCCGTTTGATTTACGCGGTTCGATTTACACCGGTTGATACCGGCGTGGGATTCCCCTGTTCGGCCGACACCAGGCGACAGTAGGCGCCGCGATTCTAATAGCAGACACACTTTTATACGTTGTGTTCATTTTACGGCGATTTTTTTACGCCACTGTCTCATGAAACGGAACCTCGGCGTAAAACAACGTTTACCTGTATTTGGAAAGACAAAGTTATCCTTGTGGGCTAAATCTGGCTATAAGAATCTGCGTAAAGAATCAATTCGAACTTTAACTCATTAATTTTTGCGATAACGGATGTGTGAACCGATGTTTTGTCTTGATTTTGAGCTTTGGATTTGATATTGGCTGGAGTTTTTTTTGAAACAGCAACAGCCATCTATACGTGAAGTCGTGTACTTCTGGGACTAAGCCAGAGTTTAATTTATAACATAAAGAAAAGGTACTTACACCGTACTGTCACCGTGGACATATTAATAATAATATTGTTAATACTAAAGAAAAGAAGCTACCGTGTATGTATTATTTTGCCATCTAGGATAAATCTCAGAATTAAGATAGTCCTGATCCTTTTCGAATATGCACTTATCTTCACTTGTTTCCACTAGCGACATCCGGTAAACCATTCTAAAGGATCAAGTGGAAGGATTTCACCTTGAAACGTATTAGTTGAAGAATCAAGTGCACGGGAAGTTTTGTGATCGTTTCCTAATAAATTGTAAGTATCTAACTTTGATTATTATCGATTCTCTTCATTATTGCAATACGCTAGAAATCAATAAAGATTATTGTTTGCCGCAAAAGCGATTTTAACAATTTTCGCCGTTGGCCATTTTTGTTTTCCTTTGTAACGAGGTCCTTCCACGTGTAATTTTGTAGACTTCTTTTAATGATTCAGCCAAATCATTCAATAATTGCCATGATTCGCGGATCGATTTTAATCATTATCATTTCTGTCCAATTGGATTTACATTTCGATCTGATGAAATCCGGTTTACGGTTGAATGATTTCTATTTCCGAATTATAATTTGCCGCCATTTCCATGCTTTACCTTACAAAAGTTTTCCGAAATATAACCGCCGTCTCCATTTCGCCATTCCTTTCCCAAATTTGAGCTATTAATGCATGAATTAAGTTATAAAAAATCTTGATCGATCTGAAATTTCAATTCGACAGAAAAATCGGCCGTTTTTTTTATCGGAGCCAATCCATTTTGTTTAAATCTTGAATCTTTTCATGCTTCCAAGTGTTTGTGTTTATCATTATTTAACCGTCGTTTCAACTTTGCAAACTTTTCAAAAGGTCTAATTTCAATTAACACTTCTATTTTAATTTATTAATTAACGAAAATACGAGTTTTAACTAAATCTTGATCGCAATGAAAACATTAACAAATTTTAATAATCTTTGTGTGCGTTGTTGAAAGTAATTAAAATAGGAGATTTTAATAAAATCACAATTTTTAAATACTAAATGACAAAACTTATATAATAGCAATTTGCAATATTCAAAGCTTGTTACTTGTCAAGTAATGTGTCAAGTACATTTACTTATTGAAATACTCACATCGATACTCATTTGCCAAATACGCATTTGCACATTAAGCGGTACTTGATAAATTAGTTGTGCGATTTTTAGAAAAAGAGAAATTTTAATGAAAATAGAGAGATTTCTTTGGTTTTAAGTTTTCTTAAATTAAATTATCTTTTTTTTAAATTATTTTGCGTAATTTAGCTTCTACAAATTATATTTAGTATTCTTTTCGTTTTCAGTGTCAAATATGTCTCTTGATAAAATGAATGAAGACTTACTTATTGAGGGTAAGTCTGTTTTACAAATTGCTTTCCGTATAAAATTTCTAAAAAAAAACAATTTTCAGGTGCAGGAAAATCTGTACCAAGCAGCACACAGAAGGCTGATCTTGAATTACAACAGGTATTATTATAATAAGATCTGACTTAACGTTTTATTAGAGAGAAAAAAATATATTAATTATTTTTATTGTTATTATTTCAGAAGAGAGAAGAAGACTTATCTAACTGTAAGTTTACCAAAAACAAGTCTCAATACCTAGTACCGTCTAATCTGTACCGCCGGAATATTTTTTAAACCGAATAATTTGAAAGACTACCTATTATGCATTTTTTAATTTAGAATTTTATTTAGTCGGAATGATCGAAACCGGACTATGTGAGGTATTAGAACCTAATGTTATACGAAATCTTGAATCTTTTCTTGC